TAAAAATTAATATATCATAAAAAAGAGCATATATATATATATATATATATATATTATTTTTAAGAAAAATCCAAACGAGTTACAACGGCCTCGTTGACGGTGGCGGCGGTCTACGTTTTCTTGGGGAAGGCTCCGGATATATTCCATGGAAATATTACTTGGTCAACTTTGGCCCGCCTAACTCGTAAGAAAATATCATAAAATCGCATATAAAGCATTATTTAAAAATTGGGATAATTGCAAGCATACCATCCGAAACATTGCTATTTATAAATCTAACACCCACTTTCAGACATTTCTAAATGTCTCCCTCAAACCTTAAAATTGATGATATAAGTTGAAATATTAAAATTAGTCATCCATCAAGACAAAATATCAATTTTTTTGCTTTGAAAAGAAAGGCGGCCATATTTCAATGACTGGTCAGAAATCAAATCCACCACGCGTTTTATGGTTTAGGCATCACCATCTCCCCTTTTTTCATCACTTTGTTGTATGATTTTTATTTGGGGGGGGGTATTTACATATTTTTGTTCATTATATATTTAATATTTAAAATTTTATATTTAATATATATATATATATATATATGAAAAGTGCATGCATGAATCTCGAGGGGATCTGAAGATGCAGACCGAAGGCAAATCAAAAGAGAGTCCACCAACACGATACTCGAAGGTTCAATTGTTTGATCGAAGGTATCAAGACCAAGACCAATCAAGGCCAACGAAGAGCCCGAACTTGACCAGTTCGATTGGAAGTGAAGCACAAGGAGATCCAACGCATTGATCACGATAAAACCAACTTGAGGTAGAAGCTAACCCATCGGGTTCTGCAGTTCTACATGAGCACCCAACAATCTCCCTAAACATCATCAAGAATCAATAAAGCAAGACTTAATCATCCCTCAAGCTCTCTTCAGCTAAGGATGATTATATATCAGATTACGTTGATTCATCATCTACCTGATAGCCTGACTTCGCTCTGTCAACGGAAGTTTCTTATCAAGAATCGAGGATCGACGATTGGTCATAGTTGACTAACTCGATCTTATCTATCATCTGCCAATAGGAAGTAGGTCGACTACCAATGCCTACCAAACTTGGCCAACCAGACATCACTTATCAAAGTCTTGTGAGTCGAGCCTGCGTAAACAAGCTCCGGGCCTACATACTTAAAACACCTAGAATAACCAATATACCCCCAACTAAAACTGAAGAATAAATATATAATACTCAATTATTTAGCATCACAATAAAAATATCACCTTTTGCAGCCTTTTAAAAAGTGGAATACATATTTTCTTGCACTAATGACAACAAAATGTTATAAATACTAATATCAAAATTTAAGTGTTAAATATTTACATAAATAGGAAGTGTTGTATTAATGTAAATTTTCCATAATTAAAAGTTTGATTTCTCTTATTTTCATTCCCAACTTGAAAAACAAGTATTTGCTTGTTGCTTGCTTGGTCTTGATTTTATTTTCATTTTGGTGAAATCATTCAAGTAACCGTTACAAAGTGCTAATCCAATCTTACATAATTTCCATGCTAATGAGAACTATTTTCTCTTAATTTAATGGTATTTTACTGCATTTATTTTCTAAATTGTTTGCTTGACAAGCTTTAGGCTTTAAAATTTAATAATTTATAATTGTAGTAATTATGGCGAGACTGTTTCTTTTCCTTTATTCTTTTGAAGTTATTTAATATTTTAAAGGGTATTGAAAGACATTAATTAGTTCAAGGAGATTTTACATACACACCTCCCAATTTCAATGTCCTTAAATACCAAACTCACTCTATTTTTTACATTTAAACTACCCAAAACCTTTCATATTACATAAAAAATCATTTTTTTAACTTGGTAAAAACATGAAATGCACATTTTCATGCATAAGATGACTTTAATGAAAAAATTACAATTTAGGCATATAAGAATTGAGTAGTATGTTAATCTTTGTTAGTTCAATCATAATACATAATATTATTTAATCATATTAGCATGTAATTATCCTTCCAAAAACTATACATTTTACTATATATATATATATATTAAAAAGAATGACCAGAGGCTATTATACAAGCCTCCAACCACACCTAACATGCCTAACAATTCCAGGTCCACCTCTTTAAAGTCAATCGTGTCAAAGGAGATCCGAACCCCCGACCCAAGGGATCTTATACCATGAATGCTAACGAACAAATCAAGATACACAGGACAATATATATAGTTATATATATATATATATATATATTAAATAAAGAAAAGAACCTAAACATTTTATACTCTTAGGACCCAATACAATGTCACCGATCAAAAGCTCATGAAATAGGGAGACTGAAATGTGAAAGCAGCTTTTGGCAAATCAATGTAAGAAAACATAAAAAACATGGCTATTTAATTTCAGCCAACCCATTTTCTCATTAAATAATAGTAAATTCTAATATAATTAACTCCCAGCTTAGCCGGCACATCCAAGAGAGTGAAGTCTGCAACACGCATAATTCATTTTTATTAAATATTATTTTTAATTTTTCAAGCACTGCAAAACTGCGAAACAGTAACGGTAAAAATATAAACAAGGGTTGCTTACACCTAAATAGCCGCAAAGTACTCCTTGCTGCGCTTTGGATCTGGTTTCATGGACTTGTCCCCAGGCCTCCATCCAGCCGGGCATACCTCATCAGGATTCTCCTGTACATACTGCAGAGCCTGCACGCCAAAACAACAATAATGGGCATTTACATACATACCATACCATACCATACCTCCCAATTCCTATATTTTTACATATTTAACAATTAAAATTAAAGTTTAGGTGTTGGATATGGAAATACATAAGCAGTGGTATGTATGTAAATCTTTCTAGTGGTAGTAATAATAATAAAAGCATCTTATTAAACTAGCACCAATGGATAGTTCCAAGTTTAGTTGATGAGTCAATACATGTCTTTGGTAAATCATAGATAATTAGTATTTATTAGTAGGTTGTTTTGGGTGCATTTGTATCCTATAAAAATAAACTTTATAGAATTAGGTTAAGCAAATAAAGGGATTGAACCAAGGCCCTCCTCTCATTCTGCTCGCAATAATTTTTTTGGCAGTGTTTGGCTATAACGTAGAATTACATTAAATAAGATTTATTAAATTCGTTCGATAAATCTAGATTTATCGAATCCACGTTACGATGAAAGAGTTAGTGAACGACGGCAAGATAAATCCGCCTTGCAATTGGATTTATGTCATGAAAGGGACAGAACATGAGAGAAAAAAGATGGAGCACGATAAAATTAGATTTAACAAAGCATTTGATTTAATTTTTATTTTTTGATGATTAGTTGGATTTAAGTTAAATATATGACTAAATTCTATTAATAGTATGCTACCAAATACCGCCTTTGAGTTGCGGGCATTCACAATTTGCCTTTTTATTCTTCGGTAATCTACTTCTTAGAATTTAAGACGAGCTCCAAAGTTATGTAGTTATCAAGATATCTTCTTCCTCTACCTCTCAAGTTCACAACACATAATATACAAGAGCAATTTTTTGTCATGTTAAATCAAATTGAAATAAATGATATCTGAAACTTTGTAGAATATTTTTGAGCGGAAATACAAAAAATTGATACCTGAAGAGTTCTCTTGGTTTCATCGACGCTCCGGCCAATCGCGAGGTTATTGATGGTCGAGTGCTGAATAATTCCTTCCTTGTCAATGATGAAAAGACCACGAAGTGCAATTCCCTGGAACATTAACAAGCATGTACTGAAGCACGATGACAGCCTTGTAATTAAACTTTCTTTTTCTTTTCAATTGTCACATTGAAAATGCATTACCTGGTCGGCAATCAAAACTTCATAAGATTTTGAGATTGATTTCGTCACGTCGGATATGAGAGGATATTTTAAATCACCGAGCCCACCTGATTTCCTATCAGTTTGAACCCATGCAAGATGGGAGAACTGAAAGGAAAGAAAGTTTTTTAGTAGAAACTCATTGTATGACTTGTGTTCCACAAACACCAGGAAGCTTACAATAAATCAGGATAAATGCATAGCTATTATAAAGAGTTACGTTAAAGCATGATAGTGCACGACTTAAAGAAGAAATTGTGAAAAAACCATTCATGTTCAACTACCAGATCCCTGCAAAACTTATACTACAACTCTGCAATTAATATCAATATGAAAATGATCATTTTCATACTTAACATTTGCAACGCTTTGGGGTTTATCGTCATGTTCAGAGAAAGCAAAAACTACAGTGGAGTAGGGATGTCGCATATTGTTAACGAGTGTTAACCTTAAAAAAAAAAAAAGGCATTACAAAAAATATAAGGGTTTTTTCATACATAGCACCGAATTCTTCTGCATTTACTTATCTCACACCCAAACTTCAATTTTTACAAGTTAAGCAGTAAGCACCCTACTTATCCACCATTTCATTTGGGTGTGAGATAAGTAAATGCATAAGAAATAGGTGCAATGTATGTAAATTTCTCAAAATATAAATATGAACCTTTATGAATGAAAAATATAAGAGAAAATGTAATTCTATTGAATGTTTGAGACCAGTTATATCGAGTACTACTTGTCACAGATTAATATATGTTGAAATTAAAACAATTTAGTTTTTAGTGACTGCTTCAGAAGGATATTAGCATGTAAACCTTTCCAGCTGCACTGATGAAAAACAAAATAGAAAAAAATGCAGTCTATATATCTAATATTCAATAAGTTTTTCCAGAAGTGTGAAAGAAATTTACTAATTAATGAATAAAATTACCACACTGTCAATTGAAACCCCCAATACTTCTGTATTTAGTTTCTCAAACTCTGAATATCGATCACTGAAGGCAGTTATCTCTGCAACAAATGCACGTAACCCGGTCACAAACAAAAAATTTTAGGGGCATTTACATACATAGAATTCAATTTTAAGGCATTTACATATCTCACACCAAAACTTTCATATTTACACAAATAACACTCAAATTTTTATTATCATATCAAAGTAGTGCTATTACCATTTTTAAAAAGTGAAATGCACATTTTCATGAATAGGTTTAAAGCACCAAAGTGCTATACCAAAGTGCTATAAGTAAATATGAAAGTTTAGGTGTGAGATATGTAAATACATAATAATTGTGAGCAACGAATTTAAATTTCCAATATTTTACGGTACTACATCAAGGCCAATGTCCTCTGTATGATAGGTAGATGATATAGGCATTTACCTGTTGGACAAACAAATGTGAAATCCAGAGGATAGAAAAAGAGAATGACATACTTTTTCCCAACATAGTCAGATAGTTTAACCTGTAATATCAAGATGAGAATCTTACTTTTAACAAGGTTTTTTACAATCTAAAAAGATAGCTTCAATTCACAATAAAATAATACAGATCAGATTATCTAGCTGATCCAAAGAATGCAAACAATTTTCTGCTGGAAGAAGAATGTAATACTAGTACTCATCCTTAAGATGAAAAACAGTATATCAAACAAAATTAGTTTACAAGAAATTGATGACTTCTCAAAACAATTAATTGAGATCAAACAGGTAATTTGCAGTCATTTTTTTCAAGTGTCAATATGTGTTTTAAAATGCCGTTGGAAAAGACAAACCGAGAAATTACAAGAATGTGAAGATCATATGCCAAATATATACAATAATACAGATAATTTCACACATCTTAGAAGAGAATATGTTTGAGCTTAACCACATTGTTTATGTACAACCATACAGATAATATTATCAAAGAATTGCTTTGAGTTTTTCTAGCATTAAATGGCATGGTATGAATCTTATCACTTGGGAAGCAATACAAGACATGCATCATACCATCTAGATTAATCTAGTACATTTGAATTATTTCAAAGGTTTTTATTATAATTATAATGCGTTTATCATTTAGGATTATATTTTCTCTAATATTAGATGCTAGAATTTAGGACTGATCTTAATGTGAATTTTAAATTTAACTCTACTTTTACAAATAGAGATGTGATGCATTTAAGTATCAAATTATGAATAAAAACTGAACCACGTCTCATTATTCTCTTTTCTCCTTTCTCTCTCTCTACAAAATTTCCCTCATCCCACTCTTGCCGGCAACTCTCTAGCAAGCAACGCAATAAAATATATCTCCTACATGATTCACAAGTCCCATTAAGTTTTGACTTTTTTGGGTGGGATTTATGAAGCAATGTCATGGTTTAGCCTTGGAACAAAACCTCCACTCCTCTTCTTCTCCTCCAATACTCTAAAATCCAAATGATAGAATCAACATTTTGAAAATCAAGCGGAGCATTTAACCGAAAGAATGAGAGGTTCACGGTTCAATAGTTCGAACAAGGTCGAAGTAGGGTTTGAATGGGATGAGGCAAAATATTTTATAATAATTTAAATGATTTAATAATAAAATTTTCATTAATTCAATATACAATATTCTATCTAAGACGCTTGACTCTTATTTTGAATTTAATTCTAAATTAAAATCTTAACACATATAAGATTTTAATTATCTTTTTATTTAATTTAAATCTTTTATTTTTAATCATCTGAACAAAATAAAAAAAAATGATCAATATTAGAACTTAAAAGTTCATCAAAAATCAAACTAATTCAACAATTCAACTATCGGTTACGTACAACAATTGTTTTGGATCTAGATCAAATTAGCCAAAGGAACAATACATAATTGAATTGGTCTAACAAAATTTTTAAAGCCATGGGTCCATTGTATTAGTGGATCAGTAAAATACATTAAACTCAACTAATACCTACTATAATGTATCAAAGAAAATAAGAATTGATATCATTATTTTAACGCCTTATTTAATAGACATTATCTATCCCTAATTAATACCTGCGAAAATAAAAATAAACATGGGTCCATTGTATTAAAGCTAAACCCGTTGGAATTAATTATTGTGTTTATTTTCTTGTTCCTACTACTACTCAAATTTCTATACAAAACAAAAATGGAATGTATTAGGGCTATACGGACTCGAACCGTAGACCTTCTCGGTAAAACAGAGAAAACTTATTATTATCGAAATGATTCGAACTGTTTCAAAGACCCAACATGCATTTTGTTGCATTGGGCTCTTTCATCAACTGATGTAAAGATCAGTTAGTCCACCATAGTTTTCTATAGTTTTCTTTAGAGGAAGATAAGAAGATATTGAGATGGCTCCATGTGCTCTGATTCATTATTTGTATCCTGATCTAGGATACAAATAATTCTTGTTGCACCTGGTAACAAACATGCATGAACCATTTCTCGAAGTATGTGTCCAGATAGTCCAAAGTCTCGATAGTTCGCTCTAGGTCTTCCGGTTAAAAAACAACGTCGATGAAGACGTATAGGCGCACTATTACGTGGTGAGGATTGCAATTTTCCATGAATTTTCCATTGTTCCCTCAACGAGGGAACTTTGCTTATTTCTTTTTTTAAGGATTGACGAATCCAATAATATTTCTGTTCCAATTTATGGCGCTTCTTCTCCCTTTGAATCAAACTTTTTCTTGCCATAATGATAATGTTCAGTTCCTATTTTATAAAGTTCGGATCCTAGATGGAAAAATAGAAGAAGGTACATACCTCCTCTTCATTGAAAGAAATGATATTTTTTTTGGGGGGCATAGGGTAAAAAAAAAAGAATTCACTAAATTAACCAAATTTTCCTGATGTGGAGGCAATCAAGAAAGCTGCGTAAGTGAATATATAACCTACGGAAAAGTGGACTAATCCAACCAATCTTGCTTGCACAATGGAAAGAGCCACTGGCTTATCTTTCCATCGAATCAAATTAGCCAAAGGTGTCCGTTCATGAGCCCACGCTAAAGTTTCAATCAATTCCTGCCAATAGCCACGCCAGGAAATTAAGAACATAAATCCAGTAGCCCAAACAAGATGTCCAAATAAGAACATCCACGCCCAGACCGATAAACTATTCATACCAAAAGGGTTATATCCATTGATAAGTTGTGAAGAGTTTAACCATAGATAATCTCTTAACCATCCCATCAAATAAGTAGAGGATTCATTAAATTGTGAAACATTACCCTGCCATAATGTGATGTGTTTCCAATGCCAATAAAAAGTAACCCATCCGATGGTATTTAGCATCCAGAAAACTGCCAAATAAAATGCGTCCCAAGCAGAAATATCACAAGTACCACCACGACCGGGGCCGTCGCAAGGAAAACTATAACCAAAATCCTTTTTATCTGGCATTAACTTGGAACCACGCGCATCTAAAGCACCTTTTACTAAAATCAATGTAGTCGTATGTAAACCCAGAGCAATAGCATGATGAACCAAGAAATCTCCCGGCCCTATTGTTAAGAAAAGTGAATTACTATTCTCATTAATAGCATTCAACCAGCCAGGTAACCATATGCTTCGACCTGCATTGAATGCCGGGCTATTCGTTGAAGATAAGAGTACATCGAACCCATACGAAGTCTTGCCATGAGCAGATTGTATCCATTGGGCAAATATGGGTTCGATTAAGATTTGTTTTTCCGGAGTACCAAAAGCAAGCATGACGTCATTATGAACATAAAGGCCCAAAGTATGGAACCCCAGAAAAAGGCTGGCCCAACTTAAATGAGATGTTATAGCTTCTTTATGGTCTAACATTCTTGCCAATACATTATCCTCATTCTGTTCCGGATTGTAATCCCTAATGAAGAATATAGCCCCATGAGCAAAGGCTCCTGTCATGATGAACCCTGCGATGTATTGGTGATGAGTATATAATGCAGCTTGAGTAGTAAAGTCTTGTGCTATGAATGCATAAGCAGGTAAAGAGTACATCCTTTAGGTCTCTTAATAGTTCCTTTAGTGGGTCTAGTCTTTCCGGCAATCGCAATGGCTTCTTTATCTCTTTATGTCCAAAGAAATAAGATTGTCTAAATACGATGAAATCTCATCAATTTATTTCAACACTGGATCATTATACAGATACTTTTTTTAATGTAATACGGTAGGATATATGATATTTGGCCTTTCCGAAAACAAATGGAAGAGTTGTTTTGTTATGTATGCCGATGCATAATATACGGCATTAATGCATGTATATGCGGTTATAGCTTAATCAATTAAATGATGAAATTAAAAATGATCAGCAAATATTTTTTGAAAAATATTTTCAATAGAAACTCAATGTGTCTAACCAATTATTCCTAATGGTTCCTGTCGGAATGCTGCTAGTTGATGAAAGTTACTTCGGGATCAAGCAATAAAAGTCAAGTCAAATCCATTTGGGTTATTCTCTCAATTCCAATCGAATGCAACTGGATCTAGTATAGTATGAACTGGCGATCAGAACATATATGGATAGAACTTATAACGGGGTCTCGAAAAACAAGTAATTTTTGCTGGGCCTGTATCCTTTTTTTAGGTTCACTAGGATTCTTAGTGGTTGGAACTTCCAGTTATCTTGGTAAAAATCTGATATCCGTATTTCCGTCTCAGCAAATCCTTTTTTTCCCACAAGGGATCGTGATGTCTTTCTATGGGATCGCAGGTCTATTCATTAGTTCTTATTTGTGGTGCACAATTTCATGGAATGTAGGTAGTGGTTATGACCGATTCGATAGAAAAGAAGGGATAATGTCCCTTTTTCGTTGGGGATTCCCTGGAAGAGATCGTCGCATCTTCCTTCGTTTTTTTCTGAAAGATATCCAATCAATCAGAATGGAGGTGAGAGAGGGTCTTTTTCCTCGTCGTGTCCTTTATATGGAAATCAAGGGTCAAGGAGCCATTCCCTTGACTCGTACTGATGAGGATTTGACTCCACGAGAAATTGAACAAAAAGCTGCCGAATTGGCCTATTTCTTGCGCGTACCCATTGAAGTATTTTGAAATGAACTGAAGAATAAATCTCAGCATGAGAGAAGAAACTTAATACATCTCAAAAGTGGGAAGACGTATATGGAACAATAACTCTTTTGTATACGCATACACATGGCGTCTGGCTTCACTCTTGAGACTAGTAAAAGGTCTAATAAGTAATAAGTAAATAAGTCTAGATTCATCAAATATCCTAACATGTCTTTTGTTTTCGTAAAACATAATTCCTCTTTTTAGGCCTTTGAATTGATACCCTATCCCTACGCTTTCGTACTTCATAGAAATCTCAGACAGAATCGACCAATGAAACAGGTTCATTAACAATTCACATCACGGATACAGAATGAAAAAAAAGAAAGCATTGGCTTCCCTCCCATATCTTGTGTCTATAATCTTTTTGCCCTGGTGGGTTTCTCTCTCATTTAATAAATGTCTAGAAACTTGGGTTAT